AGCCAGCAGCCAGCGTGAGCGGCCAGCAGCCACAGTGAGCGGCCGTCCAGAAGCCGGTGACTGATCTGCCTCGCCCGGGAAGAGCGCAATGATGGTGCCTACTTGGGCCAGTGAAGCAATGTCCTCCACAACTAGACGGAAAAACAAAACGACAGCAACTTGTCTGTTCCCCTTCCCCCAATTCCCCAATAAGAATCTTTAAAAAAAAAAAAAAGAAAGAAAGTGAATGGGCTTAAAAGAGCAATGAGACCACACTTCACACCCCTTAGAACAGCAGCAAGTACCAGGGCACAGAGACCGGGTAGCCAAGCTTCTAATACACCTTCTCAGGAAAGTCCCCGGGGAGTCAGATATGCCCTTGGATGGCGGGTGTTCTCCAGGGATGGATGCAGATTCAAGGACAGTGTAGCCACCAAAGCCACCACTGTCCTTCCACACACAGGCCATGCACCCACCAACAGAAACATTTAGGCTGTGCCAGCACGGGGTGCAGACAGCATGTTGATGATAGTCCTGTGAAATGGGGAGAGGACACACTCCTCTGAGGGCCTCAGGAGGACGGCCAGGTTAGCCACACAGGTGCTCAGAACAGCGTGATGCAGTCAGGTGCTGTTGGACAAGGTGTTTTTATCTCATTCAGTTAGATTAACTCAGAAACCAGGCTGTCAACATGCTCAAGGGGGCAAGGTGGGTGCGGAGGGAGCAGGGGAAAAGACCTCCACCTGGGTGAGTCCTAGAAAAGCACAAAAAGCATAGCCCTTGCATATGTTTGTGTCACTCCACATTCATATGGTGATACCCAAGTGCCCAGTGTGATGGCCTGAGGGCAGGGCCTTTGGGAGGTGCTCAGGTCATGAGGGTGGCCCCCAGGCTGATAGCAGTGACTTATGGAAGACCCCAGAGAGTCCCTTGCTCCTCCACCCCTGAGGACCCAGCGACAAGTCTGCAGCCCGGAGGGCGCTCGCCTGACAGTGCCAGCACCACGGACTTCCAGCCACTCAGCCACCGAAACTGACTTCTAACAGGCCCCATCACTCGTGACCCCCATGATTCTGATGCCCAGCTTCAGGCTTTGCTTCGTGGGAGAAACAGGAGTTTCAACAGGAAGGGAGAACAGGTGGGAAATGACAAGCCCTGTTCAGACGGTCCCCAGAATCACCACCACCGAGTGTCAGAAAGGACTTTGGAGGCCACACCACCTCCAACACTGAGCTAAGTACCAGCAGCACCACTCTCGGATGCCAGCACCAGAGACCCATCCATCCTTCAGCCTGTCATTCTTCAGATGCAAGAGTCTTGTTTTTTGGAAATCTCTCCAGGGAATAACCCAAACACTTAGAGAAAAATGAGAAGGAAGCCACCCTACAGTGAGATGTTCTGCCAAGCGGGGTCTCAGTGACTGACCATCCACAGACAGAGACAGGATCTAAACAAGGGAATGCAGAGATGCAGAGCTTAGAAGTTAACTTTTATCATTATTGGTTTGTTTTGTAAGCTAAACTTTAGGATCTTATCGTCCTTGTTGAAAATCAAGCATGTCTGTCCTTCCAAAGACCTCGCCCACGGTGACAAGCTGGGAAAGGCACCCTCAGAGTGCCCATCTGGGGTGGCCAGCTCTCAGGATCTCCCTCCATCCTCACCATCCCCCAGGTGTTCCTTCTGGCGCACTCTGGCCTCCAGGTGGTTACATCTTCAGAAGAGGCAGCTCTGAGCCATGTGTGAGCACAAGGTACCACTCTGCAACCTTCTGAAGTAACCACAAATCCGAATTGAAACTGCTAGCTTTCCTACACCAGCAACACCTAATCAGAAAATCCAGGGAACAGATCCCAGTCACAAATGGCAACAAGAAACAAGCTTTGAATAAACTTAGAAATATGATGTGAATTCTGCCCACTGTATCCACAAAGCCACGGTGGAGCCCGGTGGGCCTGGAGGAGAAGGCGGGGTTCAGGCACTGACAGAGCAGCGCCAAGTGCATGACTTAAATCGCTGGGGGAAAGGTGATTCAGTAAACGGGCGTTAGGACAATGGGGTAAATGCTTGGGGAGAAAGAAAATCAGACCTTCACGCAAAGGTCAACACATCTCCTGAAAGTAGAGAAAGGCAAAGAGACAAAAATAGGTCAAAAAATTTAGATCATCCCATACCATATACCAAATGATTAATGAATCCATTAGGCTGATTAATGAATTAGTTAAAATATAACATTGTTTCATAAGACAAATTTGAATAAAAATTGAGGTAAATTTTCATTAATTTAGGTAGGACGGGCAGTTTTAAGCAAAATACCAAAAGAAGAAAGCCTGGGGGGCATAGACCCACAGATGTGCTGCAGGAAAATAAAAATCTTCTGTATGCGAAAGCCACCGCCAATTTCAGACATGGGCCCAAAGACATGCAAGAATTTCATACACGACAAAGGTGGGTGGTTTTCCAAATCAACGGAAAGATGAATTATTCAATAGGTAGTCTTAGTAATAGAGCGATTTAAAGAAAAAAAAATGAAGCTGGATTCACAACACACTCCACACCAAAATAAATTCCAGACGGAGCCAAGATTTTACAAGTATCAGAGAAAAACAGGAGTTTATTTAAAAAATAATGTTGAAGTGGGGAAAGGCTTTTAAAACACAGCACAAAACCCAAAATTGCCTTAAGGATAAATGTTTGACCATTAAAAACTTGAAGTCTTCTGTTTCAAAAAACCGCAGACCAGAACAAAACACCATAATGAGAGTCAAACGGCCATTTGAGGAGAATATTTTCAACATATGTGGAAAACGTGAACTGGCAGATGACAAAGGAAATACAAAGGCTAAAATCATACGGAGAGTTTCCATCTCACCAATCATCAGGAAAGGCAAATTAAGACACTGATCTGGAGAGAACGCGGGGCATCGACGCTAAGGTCCCAGCCTCTACCTCACTCCACCTCGGCGTCGCTCTGCGGAGGAACCGGGTGTGAGAGCCCATCGAGCCCGCGGCCGAGAAGACAGTTTGTAGCAAAGAAAACAAAAACGGCGTCGCCCGGCAGAGCGGGCGCGCCCCAGCCTGGAGCTTCCCTTTTGGGTTCAACACAAAAAAGCGCACGTAGATCCGGAAAGAACACAAAGCGGAGCAGCCAGCGCCTCCTCCGCGCACGCCGGCGTCTGATCACCGAGGGTGACTTTCACTTTTTATATTTTCCTGAACTGCTTGTATTACTTTTTAAAAAATCACTGCATCTTATTTTCTACTGAAATACTAAAAAGCAAATGATAAACAGGGAACATAGTTGCAAACTGAGGAAAGGCTGGTCTCATTCGTTAAAAAGGGTTCTTAACAAAGTAACAGGGAAGGCAAATCGATGGAAAAACGGAGGGTGTGAAATTCGGCCAGAAGCACTTTGGGCAACCAGACCCCAAAGGCGGTTTCCTGCGAGACGGAGGCGCCCCCGGCGCCGAGGGGTGCGGGCGGGGCCTCTCAGCCCCAGGTTCTGAATTTGGGGAGCCTCCGCGCAAGGCCGACCACCCTCCTCTCTGCCGAGTCCGCGGGGGAGGGGCCCCGGGGACAAGGTTCGGGTGTGGCAAGCGCAAAGGAATGGGGCTCCGGGAGTGTCAAGGGGTGGGGGTGGGGTCCGGAAAGGGGGTGCCGAACGTCCCTGGGGCGGAGGAAACCGGCGCGAATGGGTGGGACAGTGCGTGCCCTCGGGGAAGCACCGCGCCCGCGTGGAGGCCGCATCGGCTCCCGCGTCGCTGAGGGGAAAGGGTCCCGTCCCGCCGGCGCCAACCCGCGCCCCTCACTCACCGTGGACACCGCAGCCTCACGAGCGAAAGGGGGCGGCCTGCTGCGCGCTCGGACAAAGGGGACGTCCCGCCTCAGCTGCACACTCGCCAATCCCTGGGGCCCCCTCCCCCTGCACCGCCTCCTCCCCCGAACGAGCGATCCCAGAGCGCAACACGGCCCGGCCTGCCGGGCCCCGCCTTCCCCTCCCGGCGCCTTTCTCCTGACGGACCGACCGCCCAGCCCCGCGCCCTGGAGCCTCCGAGACCCGAGGCCTCCGCGCCGCCTAGAGAGGCTACACTGCGCCCTGGCCTCGCGCAGGCCGCACTTCCGGCGGCCCGCGGGAGCTTCCGGTCTCCCTTTTCCCACCAGCCTGGCGGGCGCCCGCGACCCCCTTGTGCCGGGCTTCGGGACTCTGCGCTGGGGCGGGGGGCGGCCCCTGCTCCGCTGTGGCGGTGGCGCTCTCTCCGAGGCGAGGGTTCTGGCTGCTGCCCAACCCGGCAGGGCTTGGCGATGGCTGTCATGTGTGACAGTGACCGCCTCCTCGGCCACCTGCACTGGTGTTGACCGATTTTGCGGGGCGGCTAAGCCGTGCGCCGGGGAGGGCCGTGGGCGGCACAGCGGCAGACGCGCCCTGCGTGAGAGGCGGCTGCCGGAGGGGGAAGGCCGGGGCGCCTGCTGACTCCCGAGGGACCGGCCGGTGACCTTCCGTCTGGCACGTGTGTCGTGGGGCTCAGTAGCGCTCAGGAAGGACAGGCCGGCCCGAGGGCCAGGGAGGGCGTGAGGGCCGAGCCGGTGCCCGGAGAGGTTCCGCCTGATCGGAGGCCCGAGGCAGACCTGCAGTGGGGAGGATGCGGCAACGGTTTCGCGGTTACCCGGCAGCGGGGGGACGCGAGCTGCTGCTTCCTCCGTCTCTTCCAACCGCCTGAGGTCGGCTTCCCACGGGGAACTCTGCGTACCGCACACCCCCTGGCAGCAGGGTCCCCTCTACCAAGGGACGGGGACGCTCAGGGACTAGGTCGTCAGTTCGGCCCTTTTTTGGGCAGTCCCAGATGATTTTGCCAGTTGACAGTGTTAATTAAACGAGGAGGCCATTAGTGTGGGGTGGCTCTGATACCTGGGCACCTGCTTAAGCAAACTCCGCCTGGGCTTCCGGACTAGGCAACTGTTGGCTCTGTGGCTGGTTTCCGTGCTTCTCTTCTGCGTCTCTGAAAACCTGGGGCTCCTAGCCAGGTTTGGTGTGGCGGTGCCAGGGCTCCAATCCACGTTTCTCACATAAACTTCAAAGTTTCAATATGCCTCAGTGTACCTTTAACAGGGAGTGAGCTCTGACCAGCAACCTTGGTCCCAACAGAGAACTGATGCGTCTAGGACCTCAGCATAACCTGCTTTCTCCATAACTTTTATTCAGCAAATGTTGACATTCATAAAGGTTGAAAGAACACTACAGTCATACCTGTAGGCCTCTCCCTTAGATTCAACAACTAGCATTTCCCCCAGCACGACTCTATGCCCAGCTCTGCCACCTCTCCTCTGGCTCTGCTTCGACAAGCACAGTCTTTACTGAGCACCTATTGTGGTCTGGGCCCTGTTCTCAGTGCTGGGGTACATCGGTGGACAAAGTGAGCCGCATTTCTGTAAGTCTGTCCTCACGGACCTCACAGGAACAGGAAAGCAGGCAACACCGGAATACAAGGTGAACTACACGCGTCCAGAGGTGACGAGTCCAGGCCTCCAAAAGGTCTGGGCAGGTGCCACTGCTGCTCACACATGTCCCTTGGCTTCCCATGTGGCATGAGGCAGCCTGCCCCCACACCTTTGTGTTAACTTCCAGGGAAGCCCAGGGGCCAGTGATGATTGTCTGGCTCTGAGATGCTGTTGCTGCCAGAGCTGCGTGGAGTGGCCTGCCACCGTCAGGGCCCTAGGGGTTCCCCCCTCAGACCCTGGAGCCCCCTCCAGACCCACAAAGGCTTGAAGACTGCTGTGGGTCCTGCGCACCCCCCTACCCCCTACCCCCGCAGTCACCTTGCTTCACTGTGTGGAGGGAGCCTGTGGATGCTGGGGAAACCGTATCTTACCCATCAATCTTGCCCCCCACTTTTGGGGCATGAGCTGTGGGAGTCCCTGAAGGGGGTCTCCCAGGACTCTACCAAGAACATGAAGATCCTGGCACATTCGGGACCAGGCCAGCTGCTGGGGCTGCCTTTAGGCTGTTGTCAAGGGAGTTAGGGTGTTGGTTGGAGGTAGGAATATCTGGACGTGGACGTGGGAGCTAGGAGAATGTCCCAATTTCCATTTCCAGTGGTACGTGGGGAGAGGGGCTTTGGGGGACCTGTGGTCAGGAGGCAACCAGGTTTTCTTTAGAACAAGAAGGTGGAGGGGACTTTCAGAGGTCACAATACATAGGAATTTGCTGATATCCACAGGGCAGAGTAGAAGGGGTAGGAGCCAAGGAGGGCTTGTATTTTTCTTGAAGGTGTGATGTTTATTACATCATGGAGGTCTCTGATGAAGGAAGGGCAGTCCTGGCACACAGAAGCAAAGTGGCTTCAGCAGGGAAAGGGTCCTGGCCTGGGTTCTTACTGTGGTCAGTGGGTGGGCTGGCAGGAGGGCTCCCAAGCATACGTGAGGGTTTCTGTGGTTTGAGTCTCCCTCTGGCATCAAGGAGGGAGCACCCAGCTTCCTTATCAGCTGGTCCCAAACGGGCAGAGGAGGAGACTTCGAGGCTGTCTGCAAACATCAGAAAGTGAAGCCCGACTGCTCACTACAATTCACCCGATTTCTGATGACTGAAATGCGCCATGTTTCATCTAATTGAATCAGAACTTGTTTAAATAAGCCCATGGCACAGTGCGGCCTGCAGCCCACGGCTGGTGAGGGCCCAGTGTGTTGTGAGGAGTGACAGGAGGGCCCTGGTCACTGTCAGTAATATCTGGAGCTCCAGAGGGGATGAGGGTGTCCTGGTGAGGCCTGGTACTGTGGCTTGAGCAGAGGTACAGACGTCTGTGATCTTGATTGGTATTTTGGGGCATCTGTGAGAATAGATTCCCGGCATCCTTTACTCAGGTGATGTCAAAGTTTATAAAAATGTGCAGATGGGAGCCAGCCGAGTGGCACGTTGGTTAAGAGTTAGCTTGGGACACCAGCTCTGAGCAGCAGAGCCCCGGTTCAGATCCCACATGAGGGCGTGACACTGCCCTCTACAGCTAAGATGCTGAACAATAGCTTGACCTGGAGCTGGGCTGTGAGTCGCCGGCGACGGCGTAGGCTGCAGTGAAGCTGCAGTGGGCTGCCATAAGCTACCGTGTGTGGCTGGTAGCCAGCATGAGCAGCCGGCAGCCGGAGTGAGCGGCTGGTAGCCGGTGTGAGCTGCCAAGAGCCGCCGTGAGCGGCCATCCAGAGGCTGGCGACCTATCTGCCTCACCTGGGAAGAGTGCAATGATAATACCAACATGGGCCAGTGAAGTGACGTCCTCCAGAACTAGACTGAAGCACAAAAGGACAGCAACTTGTCTGTTCCCCTCCCCTGATTCCCCAACGCTGTTTCCCTCCCACAATTCTCCAATAAAATCTTTAAAAAAAAATGTGCAGATGGGGCCATTTGTTTGCCAGGCCACTGGTGCTAAGTAGCCTGCCTAAAAGCTTGGCCATCATGCTGACCCTTGGGTCTGGCCCTTATTAGGGATATCCTGGTTAGGAAATTAGGAGCCACGATTTCTGCCCCTTTGAACACCCTCCTGAGATGAGAGGAGCACCAGGGGAGGTGGGCAACTACGAGGAAGGGATGGGTGTTCTAAGAGATTTGGGGAGTAGTGTTCAGACCCCAGTCCAGGCTGGGCATTGTGGTTTCCTCCCTGTTCCCCTCTTTCCACTTTCCCCTTTCTCCTCTCCCTAATTTCTCTATGTATCCCTACTATATAAACTAGTAGTTTAAATAATTAAGGGCCTTTTGATAAAAAATAATTACTGCACCAAGATGAAAAAAGAATATAAGGGCTTCCCTATTACCTTGGAGTGGCCCCTGTGGTGCAGATGGGCTCCGGCCACCAGGCTTAGTGGAGGTACCCAGACCCGCACATCAGTGACAAGGACTTCTCAGGCTGTCACATGGACTTAGGAGTTTTTCCAGAGAAACATATTTTCAAGGAGACCATGAAAATCAAAAGAAAGAAATAGGCTACGTTTGACAGAAATTTGCTTTTCTAGACCATATTTCTTTGGAAACAAAACGTCCTACGTTAAAACCCCTCAGGCTGCAGACAGCATGCCCCTGAATTGGATAATTTCTGCCGAGACGCTGGGCAGGGCCAAAGGACACTCATTCTTCTGTGGACCACACTTTGGGTCTCCCACAGCCACTGTGCCCACCACGTGTCCCGTCTGTCTCGGCACCGGGGGGGGGGGATCTCCCAACAGTGTGGAGGCCAGCAGCGCAGGGAGCATCGGCACAGCTCTGGGAAAATCAGGAGGGACAACCCTACCTTGTAGGGGCACCTAGCAGGTGCTTCATAAATGTTTGGTGATAAATGGACCTGGGAAAAACGCCAAGCCTGGGCACGTGTAGGGAGAACAGGAGGGGCAAGGAGAGAGCTGGCCTCTGTGGGCCGATAGCCATGACCACAAGGCAGAGCTGGAGGCTGGAACAGCCACAGGTGTAACAGCCCTGAGTGGACCTGAGTCACAGCGGAGCCCTGAGGAGAAAGCACAGTGCCAGACTACAGATGGGCACAAAGGGAGCAGCAGGGAAATGTTGCGTCATTACAGAATGGGCAAGAAAGGGTAAGGACCTGGTGGTACTGAGTATGCACCACACTGGGGGAGGGCGACAGAAATCAGACCTGATTTTACGTAAACACAACATGAATTCCCGCTGCCAACAAAGAATGTACTCCTTGTGACTAATTATGGAACAAAAGAACCACTGTGCTTATCCTGAAACAAAGCTGTGTACTTTTTTTGGTTATGGCTGATTATAGTAATAAGCTGTACTTGTAAATATGTAGCCCTCATCATCTTTCCCCTCCTAACAAATATGGCAACCTGGTGAAAAAATGTGAAAACCAACCAAAGAAATAAGAGGTCACATGAGGTGGGAACAATGGCAGGAGACAGGAGGGGAGGGAGCCTGTGAAGGACTCCTCAGAGGAGGACCCCAGGCTTTCTGGACAGCAGGTTGTGGGGTAAAGCGCAGGGAGTGCGCCCTGCTTCCAGTGTGGGAGCTGGCCAGAGGGGGCTGACGGAGCCGCGCTCGGTCTCACTCCCGGGTGTGGGTCAGCTGGTGCTTGACCAGCTTTGACCGCTGACTGAAGGCTTTCCCACACGCAGTGCAGTCGTACGGCTTCTCTCCAGTGTGAATCCTCTGGTGCTGAATAAGGACCGATCGCTGGCTGAAGGACTTCCCACACTCACCGCACTTGTAGGGCCTCTCACCAGTGTGGATGATCTGATGCTGAATGAGGTGGGAGCTCTGGCTGAAGCCCTTGCCACACTCAACGCACGTGTATGGCTTCTCTCCGGTGTGAACTTTCTGGTGGTGGATGAGGTTTGAGCTTCGGTTGAAAGCTTTCCCACACTGGTTACACTCATGGGGTTTCAATCCATTGTGGATTCTCTGATGCTGAATGAGAGTTGAGCTTTGGCTGAAGGTTTTCCCACATTCGGTACATTCATAGGGCTTCTCTCCGGTGTGAACTCGCTGGTGAAGGATGAGGTTGGAGCTGCGGCCGAATGTCTTCCCACATTCCCGACACTCGTAGGGCTTGTCACCCGTGTGCACACCCTGATGCTGAATGAGGGCTGAGCTGTGGCTGAACGCCTTCCCGCACACGCCACATTCATAGGGCTTCTCTCCCGTATGGATTATCTGGTGTTTCCTGAGCACAGAGCTGTAACTGAAGGCTTTTCCACACACATTACACACATGGGGCTTCTCTCCAGTGTGAATGCGCCGATGTTGAATGAGGCTTGAACTCTGGCTGAAGGCCTTACCGCAGTCACTGCACTTATAGGGTCTCTCTCCTGTGTGGACCCGGTGGTGCTTAATGAGGTTAGAGACCCGGCTGAATGGCTTGCCGCACTCATCACACTCGTAAGGTCTCTCGCCGGTGTGTACCCGCTGGTGCTTCCTCAGGTGTGAGCTCTGGCTAAAGGCCTTTCCACAGGCATTGCACTCGAAAGGCTTCTCGCCTGTGTGGACCCGGTGGTGTTTGATGAGGTTGGAGCTCCGCCTGAAGGCCTTCCCACAGTCACTGCACACGTACGGCTTCTCCCCAGAATGAATTCTCTGATGCTGGATGAGGTTGGAGCTCCGCCTGAAGGCCTTCCCACAGTCACTGCACTCATAGGGCTTCTGGCTCATGTGACACTTCTGGTGCTTCTTAAGGCTGGCATTCTGGTGGAAGGCCTTTCCACACTCTGCACAGACGCAAGGCTTCTCTGTGCTGTGGGCGCCCTGATGCCTAACAAGATCTGAATGCACACAGAAGGCCTTCCCACATTCGTGGCACGTGTAGGGCTTCTCACTCACATGAGCCCTCTGATAACTTGTAAGAACTGAGTCCTGGTGGAAGGCCTTTCCACACTCATCACACAGGAAAGATTTCTGTCCAGAGTGGACAATCCGATGTCGAATGAGCTCAGGGTTTCCTCTGAAGGTCTTCCCACACTCGCTACATATGAAGGGGCTTTCAATTGAATGAAGCCCCTCATGGCTACTTAGGTCCACACTGTGTCGGAGGCTTTGGCCACACATGTATGCATGTGACCTCTCTTCCACATGGGTGCCACAGTATGCCACTGGGTTTGGGTTCAGATTGAAGCTTGTCTCAAAATTGTCACAGTCCAGCTCCCTCCCCACTAAGGGGCTCTTAAGGAGTGCTGCCACTGGTGTGACATCCTCCTCCCCGCAGAGGGACTGCATCAGTCTGGTGTCGCCATGGACTCCCCAGTTTCTTCCTAATAGGTCATCACAGAGTTCCCCAAGCTCAGGCATCTGTGAAAAACCACTGGTATTATTTTCTGATGTTTCTGCCTGTGATTCCAAATCCTCAGAAACCTCTTCCTTCTGAAGAAGCTCCTTGCCTTCAATTCTGGCGTTCGAATCTGAAACGACAAACATAAAGTCACTAGGAAGGAAACAGGAAAATACACAGAGGACAAGGCTGGGCCTGTGGGAGCCACTGGGGGTGTATTCCCAGCACTCACACTTCATGAAGTCACCAGCAGTGCACCTCCTGGTTCAGGCCAAACTGTCAGCACCCCTGACTGCCTCTCCTGTCACCCACAGCAGGTCATCAGCAAGTCCTGTTGGCTGTACCCTGGTGTGTGTCCCAAACCCAGGCGCTCACCCCTCCTACCTGTGCAAGGAAAGCAGTACATGCCTCATGACACATTCGTGAACATTCCACCTGCCTCTCCAGGGCACATGCTGCCGGCTTCACAGCCCGTCTGTTCATGCAGTGATAACTAATGGTGTTTGGGTTTCGCCTAGGGAGGCACCATGGGGGCAGAGAGAAGCCCGTTCCCTTTGCAGAAGCAAAGCTGGTTCCAACTGCCTGGTGGGCTGAGAAATGTGGGGACACTGGTGCAATGTCAGATTCTGTCCTGTTCAACATGGGAGCCTCAGAGATCACACTGTCCTGTCAAAGCCACCTTTGACCCTAAAACCTGCAGTTCTGACTGGTGTTAGGTGAATGATTTTTTTCCCCTGGAACAATGATTAAGCTGCTGGGTCCATCTTTCCGAAGGCTCCTTCTCACACCAGAAGGGCTTTGGCACCTTGTCTCTTCACGCCTAAAGGAACAAGGAAACCCTCCATCCCCTGCATCTCTCTTGAATGAAGATCCTGAGCCCACCTTTTTCTTCCCTGAGGAACTTCTGAGTTAGAGAAAACATAAGAGCCCTTTGCATCAGTCCTTTGTCCAACCCCACACAGCTTAGAATAAAATAATTTCTGAATGAGGTCTGCTTTACCCCCCGGAGCTAGGGTACACTGCTGGCATTAAGACAGCTACTGAACCAGGGAGTGTCTGGGGCACAAGCAAGCAAAAACACCACCAGGCATTCCAACCATGTTTAAGTTGCCTTTTCTTTGATTCACCATTGGCTTGCTGTAAATGTTTTCTAGATTTCTGACAAAGTTGGTGCA